ACAGCGCACCATTACCCTGACTCAGTCACACATGGTGCAGCAGGTCCTTCAGCGCTTCGGCTTCACGTACTCCTCGCCTCAGGCCACTCCTCTGCCTACACGCCATTCGCTCTCAGCTCTGCCTTCGGATGAGTCCGTAGAGTCGAGTGGCCCGTACCCAGAGCTTGTCGGCTGCCTCATGTACCTGATGACCTGCACTCGACCTGACCTTGCATACCCTCTTAGCATTCTGGCACGCTATGTTGCTCCTGGGAGACACAGACCAGAGCACATGGCTGTAGCGAAGAGGGTGTTGCGCTACTTGTGCAGTACGTCGAGCATGGGGCTTGTGCTTGGAGGGCAGAGTCCAGTGGTCCTCACTGGTCACGCAGACGCTTCTTGGGCCGACGACCAGGCTACGCAGCGGTCGTCACAGGGTTACACCTTCAGCCTTGGTTCCGGCTCTGTTTCGTGGCGGTCTACCCGCTCGTCTTCTGTTCTCGGCTCCAGCTGTGAGGCTGAGATCTACGCAGGGGCCATGGCTGCACAGGAGCTACGCTGGCTCACCTACCTGCTGACTGACCTGGGAGAGCCGCCTCGTTCTCCTCCAGTGCTGTACGTAGACAACAAGGCCATGCTGGCCTTGTGTCGGGAGCACAGACTGGAGCACAGAACGAAGCACATCGCTCTCCGCTACTTCCTTGCTCGTGAGCTGCAGCAGCGTGGTCAGCTGCACCTTGCTTACGTGGCTTTGAGGCCAACACTGCTGATATCTTCACCAAGGCACTCGCGCCTTGTGATCATCAGCGCTTCTGTACCCTGTTAGGTCTTGTGCCTACCTTGCCTCACTTGCTTACTTCTTGACCTTGCTTGTACTGTTACATATATATACCTGCCCTTGCTTGTTTAGCGTTATATATATGTACCCTTGCATGTGAACTGGCCTTCTGGCCTTGAACTTGTGCTCAGACTGTGTGGTGACGTTGTGATCCACCCTGAGCTTGCCTTGCCTTGCTTTGCTTGACTGGTCTTGTGACCCCTTGTTCTCCCCCACTTTGCCTATGGGGGTGTGTCAAACTTATACACTATAGTCTGTGTAGGCTGTAGTGGGGTAGCTTATATGGGGTACAACATTCTAGGGTTTGGTACTTGTACTCCTCATGCTGCTCAATGCACTCATTCTCGTTCTAACTTTCACACAGCTGCCCGATGCCACCTGCTCCGACGGTCCAGATGCATCCTAACCGTCTGACGTTTCGAGTCAATTCTGACTCTTCGTATTGTTCTCGATACTGCATGCTTCCTCAGCTGTGATCGGGAGTGCACTGTATTCTTCATTCATTGCTTTCGTAACAAAATTTATACATGCCGTTTCGTGCATAAATGATAAATTTTTACAATTATAGCTATGACCACTGGAAACAGTGAAACCCTAAACAGTATGCTTGAGGATAACATTCATTGTGAATCCCATACATGTGCATCAAATTTGTTATTTTATTTTTTTTTTCTTTATTGAAGATCCCCTAGTAGCGTATTTCTATTTATGGGTCGTAGCAGCACTTGGCAACACCTAATAGCGAGAACGTCTATCCTGACGGAAGTCGTCTCTGTTTCCAGGCTCGTAACGGACGTAATGCCAAGTTTTGGGCGCGAGAATCTGGAATTCTAGATTCGGTAACAGTGACATGCCGAGCCAGCCACATCGAGGTGACTGTTTACCTCGACAGGTCTAAACAGTGTTCAGCGAATGGTTTTTTGCCATGTGCACCAATGAGCAGCGGACTGCGTAGAAATCTTGCTAACTCTGCGTCAGAATCGACAAACAGCCCAAAACACTGCGCCAGAGGCGATAGATCTGCGTTCCGATCGGAAAGTTACAGTAAAAATGCGCTCTCAACTCAAAACCCCTGCAAATATGTTACTTTTCCCATGTGAATCCACCGTAGAATGGCAGTGGGTCCGAAGAGCTGATTTTCGAAGGGCTTCACGAGCTGCTTCCATCAGAAAAATGTAAAACGGCCGAGTATGGGGGGGGGGAGGGAAGGGGTCCTTTTTTGAGTTGGGAGGGTGGTGGTTTTCTATGGTTGATGAGGTGTAATTCGCTTCACCCTGCTTCCTGGCAATTTACCATCAGATGCGCTCGGATTATTACTGCAGATTGTCTCACGCATTTCTAGTCATTTACTACCACCCCTCTCGATCCCCATTTACAACTGTTTACAGATGCGTACTGTACACGTGGGCATCAAATCGTGGTTCGAGGTGCCGTTTCTGGTTGGGAGCTTACGGGCCATTTCATGGTTGGTTTTTGCGGACAGAAATGGTGATAGATCGCGAGATGTGTGGGCCAACCAGCACTTCACACGCTCAACTCCTTTGCGTGGAGATGTCGGAGGGCCTCGCCACGTCATCTAACCTTAGGTTACCGCCAAATAGACAGAATTGTAACAAGTCACACACTTCATTTTGTGAATTGTTTCAGTAATGTATTTCAATAACTTGAACTTCTTTAGAGATGTTGCCTAGCTGACATAAATACAATATAGTTGGGTTTAATTCCAGCCTTCAAAGTAGCCAAGGCATGGAATTTGGGTGCAAAGTTTGCGGAAGCAAATAAACCAAAACAATGTGAGGCACTGTCAGCACTTAATGTTGCGCTAAATCAACGTCGCTTTGTCACTTTTAACAAGTTTTCTTTTGATAATTCTGTCATTTACTATATTCCAAGCGTGCTGGTCAGGTTTGGTGTCATTCGCAGCATCTGGCAGGGAGATATGACGTTCCAAACGTGAGAGCGGGTGAATCTGTGCAAGGATAGGCCTGTGCGCAACATGTCACTGTTTCAACGTCTGGTTGTTGTTTTTACCTCTATTTCTTCACACAGCTCCATATTATGTCCTATTTGCTAGCCATAGGAACTGGTTTGACCTCGTTCGCACAACTACGCAGCACGTGGCGCTTGTTTGTGCATTTGCTGGCCTGAAACTGTGCAAGGATAGGCCTGTGCGCAACATGTCACTATTTCAACGTCCGGTTGTTATTTTTACCTCTATTTCTTCACATAATTCCCTAGTACCTCTTATTTCCTAGCCATAGGAACTGATTTTACCTCGTTCGCACAACTACGCAGCACGTGGCGCTTGTTTGTGCATTTGCTGGCCTGAAACTGTGCAAGGATAGGCCTGTGCATAACATGTCACTGTTTCAACGTCTCGTTGTTGTTTTTACCTCTATTTCTTCACACAGTTCCCTATACGTCCTTTTTTCTAGCCATAGGAACTGGTTTGACCTCGTTCGCACAACTACGCAGCACGTGGCGCTTGTTTGTGGATTTGCTGGCCTGAAACTGTGCAAGGATAGGCCTGTGCGCAACATGTCACTGTTTCAACGTCTGGTTGTTGTTTTTACCTCTATTTCTTCACATAGTTCCCTAGTACGTCCTTTTTCCTAGCCATAGGAACTGGTTTGACCTTGTTCGCACAACTACGCAGCACGTGGCGCTTGTTTGTGGATTTGCTGGCCTGAAACTGTGCAAGGATAGGCCTGTGCGCAACATGTCACTGTTTCAACGTCTGGTTGTTGTTTTTACCTCTATTTCTTCACTTAGTTCCTAGTACGTCCTTTTTCCTAGCCATAGGAACTGGTTTGACCTCGTTCGCACAACTACGCAGCACGTGGCGCTTGTTTGTGCATTTGCTGGCTTGAAACTGTGCAAGGATAGGCCTGTGCGCAACATGTCACTGTTTCAACGTCTCGTTGTTGTTTCAAAAAGTCCACTAGTACATCCTATTCCTTTGCCATAGGAACTGGTTTGAGAGCATTCGCAGATTTACGCAGCACGTAACGCTTGTTTGTCCGTTCGATGGCCTGAAACTGTGCAATAATAGGCATGTGCGACACGTTGTGCGAAATCAACGTCTGTTTGATGTTTTAAACAAGGTTTCTTTTGACCATTGAAGCATTTACTATATTATAAGCGTGCTGGACAGGTTCGGTGTCATTCGCCGCATCTCATGGGGAGATATGATGTTCCAAACATGCGAGCAGGGAGAAACGTGCAAGGATAGGCCTGTTCTGTTTCGTGGTGAGCTAATGTTTAATATGTAATACGACCAATATTTAGACATACATGGATGACCTACATGTCAAAAGGTTACATTTTTCACGACTTGCAAAAAAATTTATATCAAAACACACTCAAAATGCAACCAAAGTATACAAAAATTATGAAACTACTGGGCACTACTCTTACTAATTATAATGCAACGTTTTTCGGGCGTGCGTTACATAATGTACATCGCGCCAACAGAGGTAAATTACATAGCGGTACTATGTTGGAAACACCTTTCCGTGGCCACGCCACGTCTGCCAACAGCTGGCAAAACATACCTTTTAGTGGCCAATAGGAATTTTCCGCGGCGAACCAACGCACTGGAACTGCCGCTGTGCTGGATAGGGTAAGGGGTGTCACCCTCGGTTAGTTGCTGCGTGGCTTTGTATGCGTGGCTAGGTCACGTGCAATGAACCTGGTTGCGTGGTCCAATTCCGTGCTGAGTTGTGGTGCCCCACTCTCGAAACTTCCAATTACCTGTTGTGCTGTACAAGTGAAGATTCCATCTCGACGGCCACGATCGATCGATAGCCACGTTTCTGCTGTCGTGATCATCTGACGGTCGCGACATTTCGAGCTGACAACATTCCCACTGACGGTTACGATGTTATCGTTCCTTCATCCCTGCAAAACTTTGCGCAGTCATATTCATCTGACGGCTCTGGACCGTGGAGGTGTCAAGATGGTCGCACCGCACGCGGCGTGGTCAGCCGACCTTCGCGCAAGCCAACCAATCATCGGATTCCGAAACGTCGATGCGCATGTTTTTTTTTTCGCTGAAATCGCACCCCCGAAGAGCAATAGGCGGTCGAAACGTTTTCGTGCAAGTTTTGAGGCCTCCAAAGTAGAATGAACCATGGTATATGTAGCCGTTTTTCCCACAGATGATGATATATCATTGTTTACGATGGGGGAAGTAGAAGGAACAAATTACCGGGCAGGCAATGGGCTGACCAGAAGGGTTCAGGGAGTTGGCGAGGATCTGGAGGGGGTTACACTTCCATCGCCATTTGCAGCAGAAATGACAGAAGCTGAAGCAGACGAACTCGTCAAGAGCCAGCGTGCCCTCTACCAGCAAGCTCTCAAGCGCCGTGAGACCATTCCTAGCAACGCCTGCAAGAAGAAGTGTACCAACACTCTCTTAGGTGTGCCTGCACCGAAGAAAAAACCCCGCGCCGCTAAGTCCGGTAAGAAGAAAGGCAAGCAGGGGAGGAAGGCAGGAGCTACTACAGGCAATCAAGCTGACTTACCTGCTCTCGCAACTACCGAAGAGGAGCTTGTCACAGAGGCGCTCCCGGACCTCCCTCTGCCCGCAAGTTCCCAGCAGCAGCAGCAGGCCGTTACGAACCCGAACCCTCCGCCCGCGAGTTTCTTGCAGCAACTTTTCACGAACCAGACGGCTCTGCCCGTGAGTTCCCAGCCGCAGCATTTCTCGAGCTGTCACCCGAACCGTCCTCTTCCCGCGACTCGCCAGCAGCAGCAGCAGCCTGTTGCTTCCCAGCAGCAGCAGCAGCAGCAGCAGCAGCCTGTTGCTTCCCAACTGCAGCACCAGCAGCCTGTTGCTACTACCCAACAGCAGCAGCATCACAACCTTGAGTTCCTCGCTGACGCAACCACCGGCGCGCTGGCTGGGGATTTCTTGACGGATAACCGCTCCGCCTTCGACAAGGAGCTGGACGAGTAGCTGGACGAGGAGGGGGGCGAGGAGCAGGACGACGATGAGGAAGAGGATTCCGAGGAAGAAGCTGGTGCCGAACAGCAGCAGCAGCAGCTTGCTCAGCAGCAGCAGCTTGCTCAGCAGCAGCAGCTTGCTCAGCAGCAGCAGCAGCAGCTTGCTCAGCAGCAGCAACAGCTGGTCGTCGAACAAAACGTTGTCGTCCGCGGAACACGGTCGGAAGGTGAGTGTACTTAGAACATTTGACTTGTTTCATTCTTCCAGCTGTGATATGTTTTTTGTTACTTCTTACTAAACTTGTCGTTGGTTCCTATATGCAGGTATCAATGCGCACTGGGTCAGACAAAATCGCGGACTGCAGGCGCAGGTTGAAGATCTTAAAGCAACTGTTGACATCTTGCAGATTTCTCAAGCCGAAGCGCAGCAGAAACTCGCCGCCGCGGAAGCTGAGTGCGAAATCCTACGTTCCCGACTGGCTGAGCTTGAGGCGCAACAGGCGGGCGGGGTACCAGAGATGTCTTCAGACGGCCCCGAGGTCAACCCGGCGAATCTCACAAGGGACAAAGAGGGTAACGTGATTTTGAAGACGAGCCTTCAACCGAAGGAGTTCGCGGTAAGTTTCGTTTCTTGAATTGGAACATTCGCGTTTGACCGTCCGTGTGTTCAGTATTTGTGTGTGCTTGTATTTAGAGGGCCGTACTATAATCTTCTGCTTTTTAATATGTTCTGCTGTTTACCGTTTCATCTCGATTGCAGTTAAAGGCTCTCGAGACGTTCACGTGGCTGATAACAGACGCGCCAGTGGAGTGCATGGAGTTCTTTCCAACATGGGAAGTCTTCCAACCTCAGCTCATCACGAAGTACCGACTATGTGGAGTGAATCGCGATGAGTATTTCTACGCGACTGGCAGCAGAATCGAGTTCGAGAAGCTGGCGATGAAGGTAATCAAAACAAAACGCAGCAACACGCACAAGAAAATTCGATTATATGCATGGGGTGCGGGTGGGTTGTTGGATGAGAGCAAGTGGCCGTTGCTAGCGGTGGAGTTGATCATCCCGTCGAAGAAACGCTCGGAAGCGAAGTGGCTGGAAGACTTCAGGCATGGTAAGAAGCTCGGTTTTATTTTTGTTTTTTGTCATTATTCGAAAAGAAACTGACAAAGATTTATGTTCTGTTATGTGCAGCTGTACTAGGATTTTCATGGCATGTCAATGGCGAAGGTGTTCCCTTCGCCAACATCGCTTTTGAGAAGGCAGCCCTTGCTGCGTTTTCCACTGTTACCTCCAATCTGGTGCTGTTGAAGATCCCTATGCTGGCGTACCTGTGCGTCGTAGTAAGTTTGTTGCTTTTCTGTGTGTTAGTCACACCTGTCCCAATCACAAGCTAACGATTTCCCCACTCATACGTGCAGGTAGAAGCCCCCCTGCAAAGCTTCAGGCCAGGGAGGGGCCAGCCTTCCTTGGGTGGGGTAGGCTCTACCAACAGCAACTACGTCCGCGCCAAGACTAATGTGGTCGTGGCGGCGCTTCATGATGCGATGCAGAACAACCCCACGATCTTGCAGCGTGATGAGCCCAAGGGGTTGGTGCTTGGTTCTGGGTCTGTGCGTATTCTCATTGAGGGGTGGGAGCGCGTGTTTCTGTAGTGGTTTCTTGATGTAGTAGATTTGTTTTTGTAGTGCTAATGTGACCACTAGTTTGTAGTGTTTCTAATTATTGTAGGTTTCTAATTTAATCAAGAGTTTTGCAACCATTTCAATATTAGTTATTACTGTAATTTGTGTAAAATAACTGTCCTGTCGCTGAAACCCCACGCTGGTTATCTGGTTACCAGATTATGTTCATTCAGTTACAAGTCGTGTTACCAGGTTACGAACATAATTCACTATGTCATATTATTATTGATTGCAGTTTAGAATACTTGATGGAGTATGTTGTAACAGTTGCAGAGGGTAACACTCGCGCCCAGCGATTTTCGGGTGCCAGCACTTTGACGATCGTAATCGGTCGTCTGCAGCTGTTTACTACCACCATCGCACCAGAAATTGGGGGTGGTGTGGACCGCGGTTGGCCCTTCCGGTCGTTTACTACTCAACCTTCCCCATTCGCTTTCTATCGTTAACTACCACATAACCCCAATCAACCCCAGCGTACGCTCCGACACTGTAGCTGAACAATCGGGAGTATATGCTGGTTTGGACACCCCCCCGTTTCCATACACAAAGGGCAATACCCTGGGTGGTTTATTGCCCTGGGGGTCAATCACGGTTCGCACAACACAAACCACGCAGAAGAAGGCGTTTACGATCCAAAACGCCTTCTACAAATTTCTGATGTCCTCCCCTCATCCCAAAATTACAAAAGTTGGGTTTGGCCTATCGGGCAAGGAAGTGGGTACTTCGAAACTTGGCTTGGAGTAGCTGCCTTCTCAATGCAATGAATCTACAGGCAATTTCGTAAGGCCCCGTACCTACCTCGCATGCCGAGCCTAGGACCCAACAGACTGAATACAATGTTGCTGGCTTGGGAACATTTACAAACCAGACACATCGGCCAATGAGAGCATCCCGTACCAAACGCCCAATAGGGCCTGAAAAGCCACCACAATGACCCTACCCCGCGTGAACAGTAATATTTTCTCGATATTGTCAGTTCAGCGTGCACAAAATTTGCGACACTGTCTTACACGTATTCCGGTACTCTCTTTTAGAATATCTTTTACGTCACGGGCTGTTTTGACACAAATAGTGACGCTTTGTCAGTACGACAGGGCTGTAAACCCAAACGACCAATGAAAAATATGGCTGGTTTTCCCTTCACAAGCATCTCAAATCACATTTACTTTTAGCCGTCGATTGTCAAGATCGACGGTTTTTAGTGATTTTGGCAATTGGTGCAGGTTCGATCGGTCACCGTCGATCTGAATCGCTTGAACGGTTTAGCTCAGAGGTCTGTTAGGTAAGGTTGGAATTTACACCGTAGATCTCTAAGGCAGTGAATGGTCGAGATCTCGCCTGGCTTCTCTCAAACCATTCCAAGAGATAAGTGTGGTTGCCAGGGGTTGGAATCTCAGCCATCGTTCGTCATCCCTGGATGGCCACGATCGACAGATGCAGAAGATAATGCTCTCTAGCTTCCAATTGGTTTATACACAGATTTCCGGCTGACGCTACCACACATAACTGGGTAGTTCCAACACCCATTCTTCTCATTTCCTCCTTTCATTTCTTCCAGACAATTTTGTTTCGTTCCCTGCTCTTCAGTTTCACCTGCCAGACCACGCTCTTGTTCGTCTTTCACCTTGGGAGTCTAGGGTTCGACTAATTGATTTTCAGTCGTTTGCATCTACCTTATCACACTACTGCAGGCGATATTGGCGTGGCATTTGGGCGTGGCGATATGGGCGTGGCAATATGGCATCTCCAAAATGTAATATCCCAGATGTGACCCCCAAGTGACTTTTGGGCAAGATTTGGGTCGTTTTGCGATCTGACCCTAAAGTTACTTTTGGGTCTGTCACTTTTGGTTCCTTTGAGGTCAGGTACGGGTAAGATTGGACCACCCAAAAGTAACATCAGGGTCTGATTTAGGTCATGTACAGGTCAGGGAAGGGTCACATTGGGCCGCCTAGGTCACATTGGACCCTTGCCAATCCTTCCCGAAACTGACTTCGGGGTCAGATTAGGGTCAGATTGGGGTCACATGTGCATGCCTCCTGTGCATTTAAATCCTCGATATAGCATGTCCATTTATTGTGTGTAACAAAAGAATCTTATTAAAATCATGTTTCCAACATAGATCAAAAGAACGTCATGATGATGTTTGCCACAGAAGACCCCAAACACTCTACGCACACACACTAAAAAAGCCCACCTCCAAGAGGGCCACAACACACCATAACAGCCAAACTGCAAATACAGCATGGCTACAAAAGAAACCAACACACAAAACCAACAAACACACATTAAAAGGTGAAAGGCCTTTTTCACGAGGAAAGGCACTGTAGAAGAAAACCAAAACATGCAATGGGAAATTATCACCTTTACTGCTCGGTAAACCAAGACGACATCATGAATGGCATACTAATAAAAATAATAATAATCTCTTCACGTGATTGTACTTTTGCAACCTTTATATAGGGGCGAAAGGTTTCAGCCACGCGGAAGTGGTGGCGGTGCGGAAATGGTGTCGATTCCAGCACAGTTTATTCAAATAATCTTCACCGCGGATATGCACCTGCTTGTAGAGATTCAAAAAAAAAAAGAGTGACATCAGACAATTTCACATGAAAAAATGGGGGAAAAAACATACTGTAAACGATAATATAATAAAGGGGAAACTGCATACCTCCATTATCGCTGCCGCTCGTTCTGCGAAAAAAGCGAAGGAACGTGCAACGACATAGTAATAGGGGCAACGAAACAACAATCTCCTAGAAATACGACATTAATATACTGCAATGGCGGAAGCATAACGTCAGACATATTTAGGAAATAATAGCAACGCTAAACAGTCATGTGAATCACCAAGATTGACTGTCATATTGTCGCTGAAGATTCTCAGATTGTGTTGACATTAGTTTCTATCAAAGTAACTAGGCAAGAATGAATGAACTAGCAGAAGTTTGGGTACAAATATGAAACCCTAGTTGGGGTTGTACCCCATATTGGCTACCCCACTACAGCCTACAAGCATAATACAGTTTAACACACCCCCATAGGCAAAGTGGGGGAGAACAAAGGGTCACAAGACCAGTCCAGCAAAGCAAAGCAAGCCCAGGGTGGATCACAACGTCACCACACTCCGAGCACAAGTAAAGGCCACAAGGCCAGTTCACATGCAGTGCTAGATATAGTACAAGACAAGCAACACAGTGATCAAAACCTAGCAAACAAGCAACAAGATATATATAAAGTACAGTACAAAGAATGTCAAGCAGTGAGCAAGTGAGGAAACGTGGACACAAGGCCTAAAGAAGTACAGTGCCGCTGATGATCACTAGGCGGGAG